AGAGGATGATAAGATTTGTTGTGAAAAAAAAATTATTGTAGCTAATCACTTTTTGTTCAAGTATCAAGGTGTACTCATGTAACACCTCCAAAGTGCTACAGACGGGTTCCTATTTGAACTGCATTAACAACACGAGTAGGTACTATTATTATTATTGCTATTTTACAGAAGAAGAAACTGAAGATGATGACAGAGGTCAAGTGACTTGTCCAAAAGTGACCTAACTAAAGAGTAAACTTGGTTTCTCAGATTCTCAGTTTTTATAAACTCTTTCTCAATATTCAAAGTATTTTCATGGAATAAAATAAATAAATCCAAAGAGATGAGATTTCTACATTTGTAGATAAAAGTAACCATGTATAAACTTGCTAGAAGCCATTTCATTTACATGATAGAACAGTATAGGTACTCTATGTAAACTAACTTCACTTAATTCAATACTCACAAATAATAATTCTGCTAAGTTTGGGAAGTTATTATAATGTTAAGTCTCAAACAACAATTTGTTGAAGTATTAGTGTCTCCTCTTTCATGGTTCAAACTTAATTGGTAGCAATAACATGAAAGTAAATTTTCTTTTGACCTTCAAATTGTATGATGAGCTTTTATCCATGAAAAAATAAATTATGGCTAATTCTCAATTCTACACACACATACACACACACACACCCCCACCCACAGTTCTGGGACAATCTGGCTTTATACACATTCATTTTGAATATCTGTTAGCTTTTTAAAACTGACAACTTTAACTTAAAAGCAAACCCATGAGTATGTGGAAAAATTCATTAATATTTTAAAGCTGAGAAAGCTGAAAAGCAGAGAATAAAACTTCTATAAAATAATATAATTTGGGTGAAAGCTAGGAAATTTTTAATAAAACTGCTTTGCTATCTATGGACCATAGATCCATAAAATCAACATCACTAACTCCAATGAAACTGGCATTATAAAACAAGATTCAATACTTATGTCAAAATCTAACCTGATTAGAGTGTTACTGGATACATTTTAAAGAATATTTAACACATGATAAATCAGAGCCCACGCAAAAATGAGCCATGTTATAAAAGGTTCTAATGCATTACATGTTATACACAGCAAAATACCTCGTCTATCCCAGAAAGAAAATGGTCACACCAGTAACAACTGGGTCAGGGAAAAGAGCAAAGCCAATACTATCTGCACACAGAGGATTAACAAGATGTAATATGGTGGCACAGCAAATGTATGGCCAGTTTTATTAAGACTGGTGTTTGGTAAAAGGTAAATAAATTGTGCTTTAAAATATTAAAAGATTTGCCCCAGTAAAAGATCACTAGAAAAATCACTACAATTAAATATTAGTGACAATTCACTCAAAGTTTAGGGCAGAAATTCATCTTTCCACAATCCACCACTTTTACCATAAAAAGTTAAGATTGCTTTTTGGGCTTTCTTCGTACTACTCACAGATAAATAGGTCTATTAACAAAAAGGACTGAGTCTTAAGTAATCTGTTTGCCTGGCTGTTCCCAAATATTCATACAAGTCATAAAACTATTTTCATTAAAATTATTTAGTTCAGAATATTTAATAATTCAGATTAGCCTTTCCTATTTAGAAAATAAATGAAATCTTGACGTTACTTCTGTCTTCCTGAAGAGAAAATGATCCCTTCCTTGAAATGCTTCCTTATGATGACTTCTAGTATCACTCAAAAAGCAATACTCCCAGAAGAAGGGAGAATCCCTCAGTAGGAATAATAATCTTTAGGAATAAAATTAAGAGGTTTCTTTTTCGTTTGTTTTGTTTTATGCTTCTAACAGAGAAAGGCATTTAAATTATTTATTAAAGTGCTCCCAATTTATTTCATGCTTTAGACATTTGGGAAGCACATGAGAGATGGGTTATAAAATCTTAGGCTACTGGAACCTTGAATGTCAGAACAAAGTTTTATCAGATGATGAATTATTATCACAACAGTTTTAAGCACACATCTTCCAAAAGCAGTAAAACAAAGTAAGTCAGCATTCATATCACGTGCTCCTGAAAGTGAATACATAATATACCTCAATAAATCTTCTCATAATTTCACATTAGCAATCAGGCAGAAAGGACAAGTTTTATTGAAGAAATCTTCAAAGTGAAATGTCTCATTAGCACTATATGCATTTCTGAATCTGAGCTATTGCACATACCTTGTACGTCTTGGCAACTCTAGAGTTACCTCAAAATTCTACTCCAGCTCTCCCCTTTCCGAAAGTCATGGCATTCAATATTGTTAAGATAAATTTTTGGTTTGCTAGATGAAAAGGCATCTGTATTTAAGAGAAATATTCCTTAGGGACAATCTAACATTCCCATAAAGGCCCTCAAATTCTAGTTCAAAAAACACTAATCTAGAGTACTTCAGAGTACAAACCAAATCATCAAAACCTATACATATTACATAAAATTACTACTATTGTCAAAAATGTGTTATGTCAAGAATTTTATCAGCAGCATTTAAAAAATAAGAAATTATTAGATAATAGAAACAAACATGGTAACAGATTCAGATCAGCACACAATATACCATTTTTGATCACATTATACTTGTTACCTGAATCCCTGGCACTTTCCTACAGATACTCTACCCTATCAAAAATTACTGGCCCCGAGAGAAGTGAGGGGCAACTCTCCATCCTCCCCCTGCTGAGAAACAACACATGGCTCTATTTTCTTCCAGTAGTATTACATTTGAATACTCATCTATAAGAAACACGTCTACTCCATGTTATAAAGCACCATAGAGTATTTCATCCTGTACAAAGGAAATATTTCTAAAAATGTTTACAACAGGATTCCTGGGAAGGCACTTAAAGCTAACTAGTCAAAAAGGAGCCACAACAATTCGATTTCATTTTTATACTGAAGCCTCCTTCATATTATCTTCTTTCTTTATGTCACTTAATATCTTGGTAAGTTTCCCAATTAAATGCTGTCCAAAATTAAGACAGACAAGAAAGGACACAGCCCACCCCCTGACTAATGAATGAAGCGAGTGAATCTGCCTCCAAAGTAGGCAAATGTAACTTTAAGAAGGTAAGAGAAAGAGGTGGAGCAAGAGAGTAAACCACGTGTAACAGGGTGGGACTGGACTGGTCAACGAAAGGGAAAAAGGAAATTTCATTGTCAGACTCAAAAAAATCTTAGAAGTATTTTTGGAAAAATAAGCTGAGTAAAGCTCACTCTTGAACAGCATGGGTTTGCACTGTGTGGGTCCACTTACATGCAGATTTTTCTTCAACCAAACACAAGATTGAAAACAAAGTAGTCGTGGATGTGAAACCCATGCATCCAGAGAGCCGACTTTTCACACAGGCGGCTCCAGGGGCTGCCTGCTGGATGGACTTGAAACGCACAGACTGGGTCTGTTTGGGGGTCCTAATATCAACCCCCTGCATACACCGAGGGATAAATATATCTGCATACATTTTATTTTTTAAAGATCTGTAAGTTTTCAGTTAATTAAACAAAAGTGGATGATATTCTTCAGGTCCAAAGATTATGCCTTGGAGAGAAGAGTCCATTAACTTATAAACTCAAAAGTCTAAAAATTTAAATGCTTTCCTTAGAATTTGATATTAAAATACCAATAAATCGTAACTCCATTGGTATCCTCAGTTCTAATAATTCAGCAATGCTAATAACAGGTGCCTTCCAGGAAAATTATCCTTTTCTGTAAGACACTGAGGAAAAATATTGTTTCCTACTATTGCATGTATCAATGTTTTATAAAACTGTACAAAGTAATCTAAGAAGGTAAGTAAAACATTGGCAATCATTTTCTGTCAGCTTACTAATCAAAAAGCCAGCAATAAGCTTTAAAATGCCATTCTCCCTTATTAAGTAATCAATACTGAAAAATCACTCATTAAACAAATTCACCATCAAAAATCAGCTTTTACCTTATATTCCAATAGAAACTTCCTTATTGTGGAAAAATAATCTATTTACTTTTCTCCACTCACACAGTGATACCAGAAAGGTTATGATGTGTCTGGACTGTGACTATGAACAAAGTTTTCATATCACTGTCATACTGGATGGTTTGAAAAGAAAATTATCAACATGTGAACGAACAGACCTGCTGTTAGTCCAAAAGGTGCTTTTTATGTGAACTAGGAAAGGCTGCCATTTCCTTAAGATACTTTATTGTCAACAGTAAGAAAACTGTGATAATTAGCAATGCTGAGACACTACCAATGTAATGTAAATGGTTCCACGGAGGTGTGCATAATGATACCCACAGTTCTCTCGCGATTCCTTCTCTAGTATTTTCTTTTCCTATGTGTATCTTAACTAAATCCACAGCAGAACTAAAGTTCTTCAAGGCAAAACAAAAGGGAAAAGAGGTGTTCTCAATAAAACTCCCTACATAATGACAGTTAAAAATATCATAAATATGCCACTAGTAACAATATAGTAAAAACACAATTTCAGTATTAGTCCTAATTCTTTCACAAAGCTGTCTGATTTTGAGACTATTCATATATCAACCTTGTTCTTTCAAATATAAACAGAACTTTTTAACTGACATAAATACAGAAAACTTAAAATTCATTTTAAGAATATACATGCAGTGTTCATTTATGCTTATTGACAATACTATTTAAGGGTTAGAAAACAAATTAACTGGACATAATCTTTCCAATTTTAAACTCTCAAGATAAGATATAGGCATTAAGACTTTGGCAGCTTTTACAGAAACCCAGAGCTGAAAGTAGGAGCACTTCCAATATCTAGAAATGTTTATTAGCTGCACCAGAAAATCATTATCCCAGAAGGCAAGGCCAATATTCTTGCTCATTGTGCAGAGACAAATATTATAATAAGCCATACCATCAGCAGACATCACCAAATATGAAGACTGTTTAAAATCTTTAAAATTCCATAAAATCATGGTGAATTAGAACCTCAGAAATTCAAGAATTCAAATTTACAAAAATAAATACCACTCTGACACTCAAGGGACATTTTCACTTTAAGGCCTTTGTCACAAATCTGAATCTTTATTGTTCTGAAATAAATGTTATAAACATAACTAGAAACAAAAACTTCAATATTCAGTCTAAGAAGAGGTATGGCTCAATGCCCATCACATGTAACAAGAAAACCTCCTTAAAAAAAAGGAAAAAAAGTACTATGATAAGTCTTTCATATGAATGAAAATGCACCCTTTGGATTTTTCCCCCTCATCTCATTGGCTTGTATACACATGAGAATCAAAAGGTTTGCATTTTCTTCACAACAGTTCTTGCTATGATGTTTGACGGACTTTTTGCCACTCAACAAATTCATCAAGAAGAACAGGCCCTAGAAATAAAGAAACAATTTTTGTTAGAATTCAGTGAACTCATCTTTCCAACTATAAAACAAACTCCCCACAGGCTCAGTGACAAGGGCCTACTCTTCCCTTGAGGTGATTTACGTCCAGCCACCCTCTTCCATTCAATGCCTCATTAACCTAGTCTTCCTTACCCTTAGAGATATAAAGGACCTTCATACAGCAACTTCCTTCTTATGTTTCACAAACTCTCCAATATTAACCTCTCCCTTTTTCCAAGTGTCCACAGCTTTGTGGCATATAATTATTAAACAATCTGAAAAGCATTTAAGGCAGTAGTCCTATGTTACCTCCCAGAGAATGTAAGCTTGTCGGGGCTGGCCTATTGGAGACCTACTTTATTCCAGTAAGAGGAAGTAGTACAAAGCTGAACACAAAGCAAGTGCCTACTGGACACCTGGCTAATGGGTGGACTGCTATCCTAAAAAAGATACTTTTATTGATCTGAACTCATTTACCTACAGAAGCCAGGTAAGCAATTTAAATGAGCTCAGTTTTTATTTTATTAAATGTTAGAAAAATCATCGCCACAAAGAAATATGCCTGCCCTATTTTTCTTAAAAAACATAACTTTCTGGTGTTCTGCTTTTCCTGTAGCCAGACATCTTTCTCTGTAAGAAATAATACCCTAGAATATGGTAATCTGTCTTGCTGAACTTATGACAAACTTGCAACAAAAGCATTTCGGCCAAGAAAAACAGCAGAGGCAAGTACTAAAATAAATGGCAACTGAAAACAGCCTAGGAGGTGTGGGCATACTGGGGACTGCCAAACTTAATTTCTATTAAGTTCAGCACAGTCACTAGTTGGCTCCGGCCTCTGAGCCCTTTGAAGGAGTACAGGTACAATTTGGTCAGATTTTCTGAATGTTCAAACAAATCTAAAAGGTGCATTTTTATGCAGTATCTCTCAGTTTTAAATGCTGGTTCAAAACACACAAATATACACATTCGCAGGTCATACAAGCTGTTGGGCTGCCAGTTTGCTGCTGTTAGGCATCGGTTTTTTAAATTATTATTAAATTTTACACCATCTTCTAGGGGAGAACATAATATATGCAAGAAGAAATAAAATTATCCCTTCCTCAGTATTTTAGTTCTTCACTGTCACATAAATAGATGCATAATTTCAGTTTAAACATATAGAAAGTGTACCTTTCCATGTAACCCCTCTGAACACGAAATAAAAGGCATGCAGCCAAAATGGGGAGAACGGAAAACATAATTTATAGTAGTAGAGAATTTGGCTTGTCTAATTAATTTATCACTACTTTAAAATTCTGTTTTCTAGCATTCTAGCCTTTCCACTGAGGGAACTGGACAGATGTCGCACCACACTTTGCCTTGTATAATGCTCATTTTGCCCAAATTCAGAGGGGAAAATAAGGATGCACATTATACATGGGTAGTACTAATTCCCTATCTATATGAATGCTTTTAATTCTTTTATTTATGCTTATGCATTAAAAGTGTAACTCTAGAAAGCAATAATGATATGCATACCCAAAATAATACCCTAGAATAAGGTAATCAGTTTTGTTGAACTTGCGATAAACTTGCAACAAAAGCATTTTGGCCAAAAAGAGCTAGCTACACACAGCCCTCGTGAAGAAAGAGTAGACGCTGTGGCTGTGGTCAGTCAGAAAAGTAGACTCCACAGGCAGAATCTAGAAAGCAGCCATTGTCTGGGTATCTGACTGGATCCCAAGATTGCGGAACAGTGTCAAGAAGGAAGTAGTTATGAAATCATTTAAAAACGCAGCATCAGCAATGCTATGAATGGAATAGAGGAAGACGAAATTTACTGGGATAAGGAAAGTGACTCTTTAGAGATACCAGTAATGTGGAAATTGAAGAAGACCATACTTCTGATACGGATAGTGACAGAGTTCTGGCCTTCTCTGATATGTAAATATCATAAATTTTGTTACTGTTATGAAATTTCTTGTACCTTGCATCTGTTTTTGTGTTTTGCAATTATGCATTACATAAAATTTCTTGTACCATGATACATTAAAAAATAAATGCTAAAATATCTTTACAATACAAAAAACAAGTGCCAAAATAATTTGAGTTGAAAAAAATTAAAACAAAATTGTTTTACCTGATAGTCTGGACCCAAAATATGGGTACACATTATACATAGGAGTACATTACACACAGCAAAATATGGAATCTTGAAGGATTGAAAAACTGTAAATATTTCACTATCAGTTTATTCAGATCAATTTATAATTTTCAAGGAGAAGTTATTTTGACATTATTTGCCATGTGGTTAACAGATACTATGACAATAACTTTAAAGCTTTTTCTCTTATAGCTGTTTTGTTTTCATATTTTTAAAATCAAGACCGCACTTTTCTTCCATAGGAAAATGCCAGGAAAAACTTGAGTAAAGCAGAATTGTACTTTTTAGATGCAGAAATTATAATTTAAGTTTAGCAGTGTTTGGTTACTGAGGAATTGAAAACACTTCATTTACCAACATACATCTTGTGATACTTCAGAATTAAACTGTCTACCTCTCTTATGTCTCCCACATGATTAAATAAAAGTTAGTCTTACAAAGTTTAAAACCCTTATGCTAAAGCTACACAAATACAGACTCTCATCATTTAATACTTTTAGAAACTTTATTTTCATAGGAACACTTTATATTATACTTACAAGCACCATCTTCATCATAGTTACTAAGATCGGCATGGACTGTTCTGCTAAATTCTAATACATTGTACCACTGATCTTTGTTCATAACACGATACTTCGATTGCTGTGAAAAATGATTTAAATATTTGGATTACAGAACCAACATTACTTCTTAAGGTTGACTTTAGTATATTTAGTTACAATGTTTTTTGTGATTTGGTTTTTCCCAAAGCATTATTCCTTTTTAATTATTTGCACTTCTCTGAGATTCCTCAAGGGCATTAACATCATAGATTTTTTTCCCTTTATTTGGTTTCATTTTTGAGGAATGGTAAGAGTTATCAAGGGTAGTTAGGATAAAATTCAGTGAATTTTTACATATGTACATACTTGAGTAACCACCGAGATCAAGAAACATAACATTTCCTACATCCAGGGAGTTTCCCCTGTGCTGTTTCCTAGAAAATAATTTCTTTGCATAAGATTTACTGCTACTGAGCCACATTTTGAGGACGGTATCTTTGGAGGAAAGAGTGGAAAAATCAGTGGAAAGAGTACAGACTTGGGTTCAAAACCCACCTCTATCACTTACTTGAATGACCTTGGCAATGTTACCTAAGAACAGAACTCATTTTCTCATTTGCTAAATGGGGATAAAATAATTTAAAATTTTGCTATGAAGATTAAAAAAGATGATTTATGCCAAATGGCCTGCACAGAACAAGTGTTTGAAAATCTTTACTAGTTCTCAGCCCTCCATTAAATTTACTTTTGCCCAAAACTGCTAATAAAAGTAAATACTATCCACTCATCAAAAATATTTGGGCCTAAAGACTTAATTGTGCACAAAACTCATTCACACAAGACCTTTTCATAGACCTTTAAAGTTTCACAAACTTTAAATAAAACTGCTCTGGGGAACTTGTGTCAAGCAATCAGATTTATGAGAAATTATTTCCAAAGGAAAAAGAATCTGGATTCAAGAAATGGTAAGAATTATACCAAAACAAAAAAACAAAAAAACAACAACTTAAAAAGGCATAAAACAGATATAAAGCTAGACAGAGAAAACAATGGAGAAAAGAATAGCCTCTTCTTAGAATCAGGTGCTGTGATAAAACCTTTATAGGAACACTGCCTCAATAAGCATTTTTTTTAGTAAACAGCATATTTAAGCATACTATTATAGCCTTTCAAGGATCTGTGGCTGTAATAGCCTTATTCTATTTCTTTAGATTGAGCCTAAGTAGAAAAGGAAGTTTTATTACTAAATCGATTCTCTTATGTGCATCAGCCTAAGACCCTGTATAATAACAGAAAAAAGCCAGATTTAGAAGCTTGATAAAGCCAGATTTAGATTTGTGTGCTACTATCCCTTCCCTCTGGCCCAAAACCCAAGAAACTAGTTTTGCATGAAGAATGTGCTAAAATGTATTTTTTGGAGTTTTAATTTTGTGTGTGTGTAAGCACAAGAAATGAAAATATCTTTTCTTTAAGTTTCAAATTAATATTAGGGAACAAATTTTTAGGTTACATTATTTTCACTTTTAAGATAAACTTCAAGCTGTAGAAGAGCCCCTCAAAATAGGAATGTCTTATGTACAGAACATGTTAATAAACACAAAAATGTCTAGAAATGACAAAAGGATACGTACTCATTTTAACAATTTTTCTCTCTACTCAATTACATTTTTTTAAAGTATAATATTAAAATTCTTCAACTAAAAGTGTATTTTTCAATCAGATTGAGTTCTAAAATATTTTTAAAAATAAAAAAAATACATACCTCCAGGTACTGATAAAATACTGAAAACAGAGGCCATGTCCTCCCAAGCAGAAGAGCTAACATAGATTTAGCAGTGTCAATATCAAGGCTTCTTTGATCTTTATCCTAGAACATAAGTGAAAAAATTTTCTTAAGTATGGTCTCAAGATGAAAAGCTTTAAAATAACAGAACATGGAAATTCTACCTACCCTTGCAAAATCAAAGGCATATCTGTAGATATTCTTAAATGATGAAATATCATTCAACTGTGAGCGCAAAAAGTCAAATTTGTTCTGTAACTTTTCTGTGCAGTCACACCTTAAAAAAAAACATCAAACAAATTATATAATAAAAAAATTAAATGAAAGCATCATTAGGGGCTAGAAGAAATGCATTTAAGAAGAAAGTGAGTACATTTATGAAGTTAATTTAGTTTTAACATTATCTGATTCACAAATTTAGAATAAGAAACAAAGTTGTTATCGTGCATCTAACAGTGCAATAAAAACAGAAAAAAGGGGGAAAAAGAAGAAAAATCTGGCAATCTATGAAAGTTCATTCCAGTGACTTTTCTTCAAGGAAAAAAATCCAACTCAATCAAAAAATTCCTATAAAATTGCCAATACTTCCTAAAAAGAGAGGTATTAAAATATGACTATCACATAGGAAACTAAAAAAAAAAGTCACAGCACACGCAATTAATTGGTCAGGCCTGTGTCACATTATTTCTTTGGAAAGCTCTTAGGCAACAGCTTGGTGAAAGAGATTAGCCACGAGTGGTTTTTAAAGCTCAGGATATAACATAGAAGAAATTAATACATTATACTAAGTTGTCCAGTCATAAATCCAGATCCCTACTTTTTTTTTTTTTTTTTTCCTGAGACAGTCACTTTGTCGCCCTTGGTAGAGTGCCCTGGCATCATAGCTCACAGCAACTTCAAACTTTTGGGCTTAAGTGATTCTCTTGCCTCAGCCTCCCTTGGTGAAAGAGATTGGCCACGAGTGGTTTTTAAAGCTCAGGATATAACACAGAAGAAATTAATACATTATACTAAGGTCCAGTCATAAATCCAGATCCCTACTTTTTTTTTTTTTTCCCCCTGAGACAGTCACTTTGTCACCCTTGGTAGAGTGCCCTGGCATCATAGCTCACAGCAACTTCAAACTTTTGGGCTTAAGTGATTCTCT